AAAAAAAAAAAAAAAAAAAAAAAAAAACCAAAAAAAAAAAAAAAAAGGGAAAAGAAGAAAGAAAAAACAAACAAAAAAAAAAAACTTGTGTATATGACTGGACTTTCTTCCCCTGAGCACAGGTTCTCGTCGTCATTTTCTTCATTATTTCTTTGTAATCAAGCTGCCCTTTCAACCGACAACCAAGCTGGCCAAAAAAGGAAGAGGATCGCATCACTCAATCAGAGCAGCTTTGGAAAGTGCAGTATTCGGAAAAAAGTAAAAAAAAAACTGAAATAAAAAGAAATGGAGTTATTACCAATATAGATCGTGTGTGTGCAGCCGAAGCTGCAAGTCGGAGAAAGACATGCGAATCAGACTGAAAAATTGGAATTTCCGAATTAGTCACGAGGAAAGCGAAACGAATGTACAGTAATCAATAGACAGCGATGATGAACAAAACACTGACCCAGATAATTGGACATGGAATGACAACGCGGCCGATTTTTTATCGAGAGGGGCTGAGAGAGAAGTTTTTAAAATTCTTGCTGTGACGAATTGCGAGAGAGAATTCCGTCCACATCCTCTTGTGCTTTACTTTGCCTGAGAGATTTTTTTTGTTTTTTGTTTTTTTGTTTTGAAAGAATTGTCAGAGAGACCTCCTTCAATGCTCTCAACAATGGTGGCACAGGTCTATGGCTGAGAAGGAGCGTCCACATCCATATGCTGCGCAGGGTCTCTCCCCCTCCTCCCTTTCCAAGGGAAACATAATTGCAAACCTGATATCTACTCTACAGGCCCTAGACCTACACTATCGGACAGATGAATGGCGGTGTTTTCGCTCGTTGCCTGATCGCCGTGCACAGTTCGATACTTTGTGCTGTTGCTACGGCTCAGCCGATGTCCATATCCTGTGCAGATCTCCAAGATCGATTGCGATTCCCAGCTTGAGAGCTCTTCGATACATTTCTCGCAGCCTTTGACAGTCTTTCTCCCGCCTCGTGGCTTCGCAACTCGTCACTGCCCCCCCGGTACTGACAGCTGCAAGTCCTCTCCCTCTTGTTGCATCTCCTCCTGCTCCTGCTGCTGCAGTGCCTCGATGCTTCCCGTTCTCTCCTATCGTAGAATTACTCCCTGCTGTCGGTGAGCCGGCAGTTTGGAAAACTACAGCCTTGTTTGATGTCGTGATTGCGGTGGCGAGCATCTGCCGCAGAACTTTGAGCAGCTGAGCATGCAGTCTACCTATCACCTCTTGTGAAGTCTGCTTGCCCTCTGTGTCCCCGCTGTTGTTAAGCACCCGATCCCCATCGTGTACAATTGCGCCAATTTCCCTTTTCCCTTTTCCCGTGCGTTGCACGGCCGATGTGAACGCATGTCTTGCATCAAGTAGATGTGCCAACGCTGCATCCAGCATATCATTAGGATAGGTGTGAGGAGCACAGGCCAAGCATAACGCAGACATGTCAATAAGGATACCAGCAAACATGTCAGGATGGAGGTGGGGGCGATAAACTTCAAGCGCTTTCTGCCAGTGCACCTCGGCAAGAGCGGCATACCGTCTCGCCAACTGCCAGCTACGAACGGTTCCCAACGCTTCCTCGCCATCCCTTGCATTGTTTCCGGAAAACTTCGACCCATAACTAGGAACTGCCTGAACCTTCCTTCCTGCACCTATTCCTCCTCCTCCTCCTCCTCCTCCTCCTCCTCCTCTGTGGGAACGGTCTTTTCCTTTCGTGTCCGTCCGCAACGGAATTGCAGCCATGCAGCAATCCCTATGATAGCTTGCAAGTTGATAAGAAGCATAGGCTGCTTCTTGAGTTCGGGACTTCCCAAGCGATTCGTACAAGACAATCGCCTTCGTTATAGCTTCTTTAGGCGACAGTCCGTCCAGTCTTCGTATAAAGTCCCAGTGCTCCTCTCTCACACCGCCTAGTGCACTCATCCTACCTTTATCTCGATCGCACGAAGCTCCCTCTTTGCTTCCATTGTCCGGTTGCCTTCCTGTTGCGCCAGTCCCCAAGAGCCGCGACTCTGCCGCTAGAAACATTCCAAGTCGGAGATACGTGTGTGCCATCTGCGTGTGCACCTCGTTCCATACTCCCCCAAAACTTTTCTCCACGCCGTCGCCAACAAGCAGTAAGGCTTTCCTTGCGGCGCAATAGTGGCCGAGGGCCTCACCGTACAGTGCTGTGACATTCATGGCACTTGCTTGCTTCCACTTCCCTTCCATCCACACTCTTGTGCTCATCGACTCTTCTCCCTCGTCTCCCTCAGCGACTTGAGAACCTCTCTCCTCCTCTTTGTGGTTCGCAGCTTCTTGTAGCTCGGACACCGCCTTTTCTGCTGCCGCCCTCCGCGCATGACCTAAGTTGCAGTGCACCAAGACCTCGTTCGTCACATCTCCAACAGCCCGAAAGGCTACGATAGCGCTCCGAAATGCTTGCTCGGCGAGCTCTCTCTCGCCGGCAACCAGCCATCGTCTCCCAAGCTCATTGCACGTCCATCCGCGTTTTCTCAACGCCAATTCCCATTCTTCTCGGCATTCTGGCAGCTCAGAAACAGCCATGACGGCTGCTGCGTAGCACTCGTCTGCCGCAGTCAGGTTAACTCTCCAATCGAGAGTCACCTGACGGCCAAAACAGGCGTCTCCGCCGTTGCAGGGCTTGTTGGCCCGGTCGTCTTCGTCACCTACAATAACTCTCTCTCCATCTCCTTGTCCATGCCCCTGCTGCGCACTCTCAAGATTTTTGTCTGTCTTGTGCATCCTCCGATCAGCACCCCTGTTGCCTCCCGCCGACACAGTCTTTGCTTGTTTGCTACCAGTCACTCTCTCCACACTCACCTCCTCGTCCTCGTCCTCGTCCTGGTCATCATCATCGTCATCGTCGAATTCCTTCTCAGATCTGCCTTTCCTGATATGCCGCCTCCTCGAATGTCGCCGCAGGATGCCCACTGTTACGCTTCCCTCTCTGCTTCCTGAACTTCCACTCACACTGGCGCTCCTGCCACTGCTTGCTCTGTCACTAAGGCAGCTGCAGCCTGTAAGGCTGCAACTGCTGCAGCCACTCCCCGGGGGTCCGCTCTTCTTTTTCAAACGCTTGACCTCTTTGACAACCTCGTCCTCGATGGTCAACTCCCCACTGTTGGACCCATCTTGATGGCACGGCAGATCTCCTTCCGACATCGTCTGCTGCACCTCGACGTAAATGTCGCCGACAAAAGCCCATAAAGACCCCCAGAACTGTCCTTTCCAGAAACTCAAAGCTTCATCGCTGCCCCCTCTGCTGCCCCCCCTCCCTTCCTTCCCACTCACTACTCCCTTCCCCTTGCAAAAAGAGCTACTCAAACTGAGTGCCAGAGCAGAGTTTGCAGCACCGTCCATTTCTTTCTTCTCGAACCGCTTACAAGGCAACCTCATCCCTTGGTAGTAGGGCTTCCCTGCGCCCTTCTTACCCCGTATCCAAGCTTGCAAACACAATGGGTGTTTGTCCATCTCCTGAAGTGGACCGCATACAAGGCCCGCTAGCTCTGCCGCTCTCAGCGCACGACCGAGCTGCCCGTCGGACTGGTACGCCTGCGCCAGGGCAAGGTAGGATTCGCCAAGGAGGCGAATCAGCTGTAGAACTTTGCGTTCCATCTTTTGTGTCGTCTCCTTGCTACAAGCAGATGGAGCACACGCCGACTCCCCACAGAGACACAGAGCCAGGAACTCTGATGACCCCTTCGATCGTCTGGCGGTGACTTCTTTGACTGTACATTCACCGTCCACGACTTCCCCACCCGCTTTCGCCTTCCTTCTTTCCTCCACAACTTGTCGCTGCCATCGTAGTACTTTGATGGCCTGGGACAGGTGGTGTATGGCCGCAAGGTGCGCCGAAACCGCATCCGTAGGAACAGAAAGCCATTTCGACATGTAGTGCGTCTGTGACCAGGACACATGTCGCGCTAACCCCCCTCCACTCTGCGAATCCTCCTCATCTTGCTGCCCACTACTTCTCTTGCCGCCAAGGTCAGGGATAAGTGCTGCTGCCCATCGTGGAGGGCCGGAGGAGGGGATGATAGCGTGGCAAATATCTTTGCCATCGCCGAAATCCTGACTTTCCTCCTTGGCAGTGCAGACTTCAGGGAGGTCAGGAGAAACAGATTCCCACTCTGCAAGCCGTGAAGTCGGTTTCACATCCAAAACCAAGCTCTTATTGATGAACGATGATGCCACCTCATCCACAGAGTGCTGCTTCATGGGTTTCTCCCCATCTACACTCCCCCAGGAGTCGTTACACGAGGTTGAAAGATAGGTCTCCACTTCATGTGCATTCTGATTTTCCACCGCTTGGGCAATCTGTTCGAACTTCTCCATTGCAGACTCGTAGGCTTGGCTGGGCTGTTCAGGCATTCCCCTCTCCCCCTCGGCGTACTTGAGAGTGACTGCTACCGATGTGCTAGTGCTGCTACCTGATGGCAGAACTTTGACAGCCCGCTGTCCGATCTTGCTCTTCATCCTATGTCCGTGTTCTCCCGATCCTCCTCCTCCTCCTCTTTGGCCCAGAACGACCACGCAGTCCGATGCGGCGGGAAGCAGAGGGGAAAGCTGCAGAGCCGTCGTATGCAGATCAGCCTGCGCAGAGTCTTCTGGCACGCATGAAGGCAGACTCTGTCTCGCCAGGCTTGGCTCATTGCAGCAAGCGAGCATCAGCCTTGCCGCCTCTTCGTGAGCTGTTGCGCGCACACACGGCTGTTCCTCCTCGTCAATGAGATCCACACATTTGGCAAACAAATTGGCACATTTCCTTTTGTCCAACGGATCCTTTGACAGAGAAAGACGCTTTGCAAGCCGATAGCATAGCATCGCAAGGGGAAGAGAGTAACGGTTTTTCTTGCCCTTCTTACGGGTGGTGAAGTCATCCAGACTCTCCGACTCAGCGCTCGGACTGGTCGGTGGTGACCCCCGCGTCGACATCATCGAGAGATCAAAAAGCTGCATTAAATCTTCACCTGAGTTCTTGAACAACCAGTAGGTTCCCGGATCGCGTGTGCAATTCTCCTGGAGGAACTGCAGCACCGACGATGCATTCTTCTGCACAACATGCGGGTGGAACGACACTCTGCCATCGCCCGTCAGCCCCTTTAGAAGCAGGATGTCGTCGGTCTTCAGAAGTTCGTACCCCTGGACCACCCCTTTACGATGGTAGCAGACAGCGAGTTCGGGAACGCTTGCCATGACGTTGTCGAGCCACGCATCCAGCCATGTTATAGGTGTTGCCTGATGTTCAAGCTCCAGGAGGTGGAGACTGACAGCGGCGTGTCGCTCATTGCTGAACAACAACAGGTCGCTACCGAGCAGCAGCCTGAGCTCTTCGAACTGCCAAAACAACACCCTGGAGAAACCTTCCAGGCGCGGGTCCTCCCTTTCTCTACCCCTGCCTCCTTCAGCACCTGTTTCCTCCTCCCCTTTGTCATTATCCCCTTCTTCTTCTTCCCCTCCACACTCCTCAGCCTTGGAACCTGCGCGCTCATCGACGACAGCCCCAACAATGTGGGGACCACCATTACCAATCTGAGCACGGCCGAGGCTGCCCTTCCTCTTCCCACGCCGGCCCATGCCCCTATCGACACCCTTCTTTTTCCTTGGCCATTTCCCTCCGCTGAGCATCACTCTATCCCCCCCACTTCTGTCAATCTCCCGAACATACCCTTGAGGAGGCAAGTACCCCCGCACTGGCCCGCTTTCTGCTCCACCGACTGTAAAATGGCACCCTGCATCCTGGCCCTGTCTTTCGCTCAGATCGCTCGTCCCAAACACTCTCTCCTCCGCCACGTTCCTTAACACACTCTCCTCCGTCCCGTTCAAGGAGACGACAGGAGGCGCAAGATCCACATCCCGACCGGAGTTCACAACAATGTCCTCCTCACACTGTTGATCACTTTGTTCCTCTGCATCTCCGTACTGACTTGCCGGCCCCTGGCGCTCCCCTCTCTCTCTCTGCACCATTCTCTCTGCATGACTGTGTAGAGTCCCAACGTCGCAATTTGGATCTGCCAGTCCATACGGTCTTCCCTCTTTCGGTGACGACTGCTGTACAGCACTGTCGTCACACCCATCAAGCTGGGCCTTTCCGTGGCAGCTCTCCCGCTCCAAGCAATCGGGGATCGGTTCCGAAAAACCATTGATGCCGTGAAAGCTAGAGGATTCCTGCGAAGGAGGACCTGTTGTTGACGCAGAGGGAGTGTGAACGGAATGGTGTATGAAGTTGGAGAACAGTGCCCTTTCGGCAGCACTCGCTTGACCCCGCTTGCGTCGTGCCGCCTTCTCGTTCGCCCCAACATCCGGGCCGCTGTTCAAGATCAGTGTTCTTCCAACACGATGGACGGCGACGGAGACTCGCGCCTTGCTGTACGGAGTCTTAAAAATCTGCTTCAGGATCTCCGCGGGTGCGATCACATCGACTTCGTCCCCGTATCGCGCGAGACCGCTCACTGCCAGTGCCTCACCGCTCCTTGCAAGTGGATGGCGGAGGTAACCTCCATTGCTCCAATCATCTGCTTCTCTCTCAGGGTCGAGCTGTGACGGATTTCCCTCACCCTCTAATAAGTTGGGAGGTGCATCATTTAGATCAGTTTCCGTCGGTAGAAACTTGCAACGCGGGATCGACTCCCGGTCTCGCACAACAGTGGTGGGTGGAGTCTTGTTCCGAACCAGATCGGCATACGATCCACCATCCGTGGGAACAGGAAGAGTACCACAGATAAAACCAGGTTGAGGCTTGACCAATGGAAGGCACGCCACTGGGACGACATCGATATCCGCCATGCCAGGTGAGAAGGACAGCATCCCGCATCTCCTGTCTTCTACTGCTACTCTCCCTCCTCCTCCTCCTCCTCCTCCTCCTCCTCCTTGCTCACTCATCTCTTCCGCCACGACTTTGAGCCCGCCAAGGGCTCTTCCCACGTGCTTTCTTCGCACCTTCCTCTCCTTTTGAGTGGCACTTCCCGCCCCGCTTCACCCTCCTTTCGCCTTCCTGTCGTGCAGTGTGTTCCTCACCGGCTCTTTCATCACATCACTGAATAGCTAGCTAACAGCGTCTTCCCGCTACAAGCACGAAAAGCCGCATTATCCCGCAGCCAGAACCTTCCTTTCACTAGAGGAACCCGGCCACATGTCCTCCCCATACGATCCTACATAATACACCGACGACTCCAAGGCGTCCCTCTCGCCATCGGGCGACTGTCGTCATCCGGTCGCACCTGTCACACACGCCCAGTCACACCTGTCACACACGGACAACGGTGAGACGTATCATCAGAACCTGTGAGAGAAAAGCGCTTTTCAGCCAGCTACAGATATGACGCTTCTTGGCAACGATGTCCCTCTTGGCATCAGGGGGGGACTACTATCCTCGTCCCGTTGCACCTGCTACACAAGAACAACCGTGACAAGTACCAAAAACAGGGAAATGTCTTTATCTGGATTCGACCTTGGGCCTTGCTTTTCAACCAATCACTCTTACGTGCTTTCGAGAAGACAACGACAGGATAATGTGACAGAAGGAGAGCAATAAAAGGGTGCCACATTGTACGACACACACAGAATCTGGGGTCTTTTAGAACAACACACACACACACACACAAACACACACACACACACACACACACACACACACACACACACACACACACACACACACACACACACACACACACACA